ATGATTTCCATTCTAGATTAAGATTTACAATGGAGCTGGGGGGGGGAGATACATTGAATTTTTTGGATTTGACTTTAATAAAAGAAGGAAACATTTTAATATATGACTGGTATCACAAACCTACATTCTCAGCACGTTTCTTAAAATTTTTTTCATGTCATCCATTATGTCACAAAGTGGGCACTATCATTAGCTTGATCGACAGGGTACTTGCTCTATCACATCCCAGATTCCATTGCAAGAATTTTGAATTTATTATTAACATATTAATGAATAATGGATACCCTTTGGACTTAATTTTCAAAAATATTAAAAAAAGAGTGATATCAAAGTCCAAACTTTGCAATAGAACAGAAACAGCTTCAAGTAATAATAGACAGAACACCAAGATAAAATATTTCACCATACCTTATGTTCCATCGATCTCTGATAAATATATATATATTTCATAGATTTTTTAAGAATAATCGGTTCATAAGATTAGTATTTACTGGGATCAATAAATTGAATTCTTTTATCAAGGGGCAGAAGGACAGATTATCAACTATGACACGTTCTAACGTCGTGTACAAAATCAATTGTCAAAATTGCGATGTCTTCTATGTGGGGCAAACGAAAAGATTGTTAAAATCAAGAATAAGTAAACATCGAAACCACATCAATCGAAATACTACATCGCAAAACGTCATTACAGAACATAGAATTGAGCACAATCATGAATTTGATTGGGACAATGTTCGGGTTTTGGACGAGGAAAAGAGTTATAACAAGAGATTAATCTCTGTGGCAATTTTTATCAATAAACAAAGAAACGGATTAAACTTGCAAAATGACAGATTTACTGAGTCCTTTGTATTATGACCTAGTCGCTAAAAATTGACGTAACTCTGTTTAATTTTTACTGATAATATGTATATTTTTATGTATGTTTATTTTCTGACTTTTCATGTTTACATTTAATTTTATCGGCGTGACAAGCTTTCTATTTATCCTATAATATTTTCATTGTACTTGACTGTCTCATTACTATGATATCACCCTCTGTATTCACATCCTTGTAATAGATCATCGTTAAGCTTTTCGCTACGTAAATTTTTAGTAAATTTGATTAATATAATTTTATTATAATTAACTAAATTTCTTTTGAATTAATTGTAGTGGAATTTTTGAACATGGACTGTTTGTATATTCTGTAAAATATAACAGACGATTTTTCGGAGATTCAAACAGCGACAATACTTTAACGATGTTTTGACGATCGAGCATTTTTTACTTAATTTGACATCATGAAATTATCTTTAAACACATATTTTCTACACTGAAGAGGACCCAATACCAGGATTGAAACGTTTGTATCACATTTTTTAATATACATTTTGGATTACACACGAACAACTGGTGTCGGTTCACATTTCTTGTACATCACGTATCTAATCGTTAAGCAGAAATGTGCATCTGCCATATTGGCTCCTAGTTAGTGCGGGAAAATTCGAGCAAAGCAAAGATGCATATTATATCATACTACTTTTGTAAGAACTGAAAAAGTATAATAGCTTGTATCATATTTCATAACCCCGGATCTACAATAGGTGTTTTAAACCTTATTAAGTCGTAAGAAATTAACCAAATACAGTCGAATTCAAAGAGAATAATCGACTATGATTCATCCATTTTTTATGACATATTATTTATTTCAATTGTATATTAAACAAATTAATATTTCATTTTTGCAGATATTGAAAATTTTTTTACATTTGCTGTAATTTATTTAGTAAGAATACATATTTATAAAACATGCATTGACTCAAGGTCTCATTTATTTTATGCATGTTTGGATGTTTTAAAGATTTTCGACCTTCTGAATCATTTCTGACCGATTATTTAACTGGACCGTGGAAAAATTTCACAGCTAGCGAAATTAGTTCAGTAAAGCAATTAATTTAACGAATGCGCGTTTAATTTTTAAATAATATTCCAAACATATTTTTATCTTTCAGATCAATCATGAGATCTATCCTGTAACTATATATGGTTACTTATCGATGTTAATACTTATGTTCCTAATCACAGATTTCATTAGATACAAACCGATCATAATTCTCTCTGGTCTGTCTGGCATTACAACTTTTCTTCTGATAATATTTGGAGATATGGTACTTATTTTACAGATTGCAAAATTTTTTTTCGGCCTATTTATGTCTGCTGAAGTAGCTTATTATACTTATATATATGCTCAAATAGATAAAATGCACTACCAACAGGTTATAAACTCTCTCTCTCTTTCTCTCTCTCTCTCCTCCGGCGTCCGCCAGTACCAGGCTCCCTTCCTCTGGGAATCACCTGGCGACGCCGCCTAGAGCTGTTCGTCGACGTTGGCTCACCGAGAAGACCAACACGCAGAATGCGTCGCGTTGCGTGAGTTTGAATGTCGCGTAACTTATTATTGTCTATGTCTTGGTCCTCCTCTTTTTAAACTTAGCAGGAAGGAATGGCCCATGTCCAACTACCATGAGCTAGAGTGATCAGGGCGCTACTCGCCCATTTAATAGTTCTTTTTTTTTTCTTATATAAGTACATATTGGACAGGGACCCTCCTGCTGGTTATATTTATTATCTTTTATTACACACTTACCTAGGTAACCTTTCTTGCTTTTAGCTATGCTACTCTACACTACTATCTACTTCTACTTTCTTTCCTTCTTTTGTCTACTTTCTTCTATTTATTCTGTGTGATTTTTTTGTTCATATCTTTGTGGGGCCCTGGCCGTTCGAGTATGATTGCCGCGAACCATATTGTATTTTATACGAGTATGAATGGTCGCGTTATACAATTTTATTTTATCTTTTTAACATTTATAAATTGCCACGCGCGCTCCTTCGGGAGTTTTAACTAATGATGACATACCTGTGATATCCCGGAGGAGTAGACTGTGATAAACGTATCCATCCAGTAAGCGAGCTGGTGGATGATTACGATGTGATATTTTTGAGTAGGTTAATGCCCATGCAGGGGGGGAGCCTTATCTCCCGCAATGAGTATATACTAAGAATAGTGTGCAGCCTAACCACTGAGTTGTATTACCCCAGAGGAGAAATGTCCCTCTGGGGAATTTGATTGAAAATAAGTGTGCTAAACTCTCTCTCTCTCTCTCTCTCTCTCTGTCTGTCTGTCTGTATGAACATTATATCACATTTAATAAATAATATTGAAATATTCTCAATAAATAAATCAAGCAGTACGGAGGACGATGGCGAAGGAGCGGCGGAGATGGAAGTACGCTCCGAATTCACAAACATATTCGGGATGCATCCCGGCGCCGATGACACCAGGATACATCCCGACGGCGACGACAACAGGATACATTCCGGCGCAGACGACACCAGGATACATCTAGGCGCAGTCGACACTAGAATACATCTCGGCGCCGACGACACCAGGATATATCCCGTCGGCGGGATACGTTCCGTCGGGGTATATCCCGCCGTCGGAATATTAAAAAGTATAAATAAAACTTATAAATAAAAAACGTATAAATAAAAAAAATTAATGAAAGAAACAAAATTTATTATAAAGATCTGTTTTCTGTGCTGAACTAGTGTATACTTTTGTAACTTAAAGTGAGATAGGGATATGTTTGATATTTATGGAAAACGAGAAAGAGAATTGTAGTGTAGTCTAATGCAGGGACAGAAAACTGACCAAAAGTATTTATTCTTTTTCCTTTCTCTCATTCCTATTCTCCCTTCCCTACCCATATCTCTTTCTCTCTCTCTGTCTTTGTCGCTGTCCATTGTAACAATCGCTAGCAATAGATGTAAATTGTTTTTTTTATTATCTATTTGATTACTCCTTGCTTCCTCGGCCTTCATGCAATCTGTTGGAACGTGTTCTCTCCCGCTACTCTTTATCTCTGCTTGCACGATTGGTAATTGCAGGGCGCGTCAACCGAGCCCTTTGCTGAGAGTCAACAGCGAGGAAGTGATCGAGCTAAATCCTTCGCCTATTCTCCCTCAAAATTCGCCCGTAACCGCCGGATCTGCCGCGTACGTTACCGCCACATTCGACACTGATATCAGTAAAATTTAGTTTTCAACCCTTCAAATATGAATATTGACGGGCCATTACGAATTTCGAATCCAGTTGGCAATTCAATTAACGGACCTACGTTAACTATCACGCAATTTTCCATTTTAGTGACGTTTGTTCAAGTTACACGTACACGTTAAAAAGCTTGATTCCAATTGTCGCTTAATCGTTGCAGACTTGTTACTTGTCAATAAATACTCTAAAATGTTGTATAATTGTATATGCAGTTGTTTATTTAGGTAAATAGGACGAGAATATCTTTCTCGATAAATTTATTTGTGAACGATTTACGGCGATTAGTGCGGTTTACATATCTTATCTTCATCTTCTTTTACACTCTTAGTCTGGTATCGCGTAGTACCTTCAAATTCGAGGTAAAAATTTTGAAGTGACAGTGACATTTCGAGTTCCATACTGATAGGAAGTATTTTTTTCTAATAAGAAGTATTTTTCCCGATATATTCGCTCGAGGTACGAACTTCACGAGGTAATAATGAATATAACGATTCGATTGAGATATATCACTCTTATCGAACTCGCGATACTTTTCTTTTGGCGGTACAAGGCTTTTCGTGTGTACCTCCTATATTCCTCGACGTTGCAAATGTACCGCCAGCATTCGTTATATCGTTAACAAATGACAATTGGCTGCGCAACAGCGCGGTCCTCTACCATATACCGCGTCATAACCACGGGAGTGAAACTAGTATCATGGTTTCCGGTAACACCGAAAAAATAGGGGCACTCGAAAGTGGGGATTGAAGTGACCAATTAGAAAATGGCACGTGACATTACGTCATTTCCACCATTTTCGCAAATAGAATAATAAACGTACGAATATGTATGTACTATGTACAAGTACGTACAAGTTTCCATCAAGCAGTTAGCCAAAATAAAAGGTACGTACAATAAACTGATTTAGTTTATTATAATGGTTAATATTACTATCAATTTGTTATCTTTTAAGTTATGGGAACGTAACCTCATCCCAGTGAATTTGCACTTTTTATTCTTTGAAATCGTCGAGATGAAACAAATTAATAGGTTTTTATACAGAATTTACAGAGAGGCTATATTAATGCTAATTTTATTTCAGCCTATTTCGCTAATCTACTAATCGTACATGAAAGCATATTGGAAAAGTATTTTTTCATAAATGGCAAAGCTTGTATATTAAATATATGGAAAAAAACTTTATCAGCCCAGCTGCGATCGAGTTATGTCACAAGAAAATAACATCTTTTCAAGGCTTTGGTTTTATGAATGGTAAGAAAAATAAAACTAAATACCTTTATCTGTAAAGAAAGGAAGAAAAGTAATATTCGCTTGTAATTTTATAGAAAAACTATAATTCAATAGGAAGAAATATGAGTATTCACTTCAGTCACATCATTTACATGGATCTGCTACATTCAAACTCTGTGAAGCTCTGATTACACGATGTAGTCAAACAACTGTGATGTGCTTATAGCACCTAGTATGTAAGTTTTAGGATAATTATTCTATGCTAGCTGTAGGATAATTCTTGTGATACTGCGATAACTAACGATAACTGCGATAACTACGAAGCATGGCATCTCTATTAATAGGTACGCATAAATATTGGTGCAAATATCCAAAGTGTATTACACAAATGCGTAATACACTGATCTAGTAGATAATTCTTATCGTAACAAACAGTTCTATAGATTTCCTAAAGAAGTTCAATTTAGAGATGAATGGAGGAGAATTTGCAATATCAGCAAAGATGTAAAATGTGATTACTTTCGCATCTGCGAAGAGCATTTTGAGTCTAAACATTTCTTGAATACGTCAAAACATAAATTGAATTGGAACGCAATTCCTCTTGAAAATGGAGAAAATTATGTATTCTCAAATACACAGTCCGAAATATCATCAATCAGTGAACATGAAAATACTCGATGCAAGATTCCTCCGATGAATATAAATAACAATGCTGAATGTGAGACTTCTCCGAGTGTTGATGTAAATTGTAATGAAGTTACTCTTTCAACAATCCGTGATACTTCTTGTTTTACTTCTCAAACGTCATATAATAGTAGTTATCCACTTATCTCTGATTTTGCTTCTTCTTTAGCTACACGAAGTACAGCCTCAACTAATGAAAACGATGTAGAAATGAATCATGAAAATGATATAGAAATGCTTGTTTCAGATAAAAACGTTAAATTTCTA